GTGTGAACCTGACCAGGACCACCACAGTGGAGCAGATCCTCTACTGTTTACCTCAGGAGTAATCTGATTACTACAAGATCATAGCATCCTTTTATATTTATGTGATGTTGGTATGATTTGGGAGCCAAAGTTGTCATTTTAATGGTTATAAGGACATTAAAAAAAAACATTCATATTTGAAATTAATAGTAAAATCTGGTGAAAGTAGCTTCAAGGATTTGCTGAATTTGTTCCCAAGTCATGTTGAAAACTACACAGAGACACTTGATGACCTACGTCTTTATCTCCCCAGTCCAACCGAGGTTTGTTCCTCGTGTTCAGGATGTGTTCACCTTCAACCTGGTGTCACCGTGACTCCTCCCATCCTGTAACCATGACGCCACATCCTGCAATGTGTCACCACGAACACCGTCAGAGACCCACGCAGGTCGCACTCTCAGGTGTAGTCACTGTTTGTTCAGCGTCCTTTAGCAAACACCACCGAGAGATTCGATCGCCTCAGTCGTGCTTCAGCCTCTTTAAACTGGCTCCTTGTCCAACTGCTGATTTGTTTTTTTTAACTTTTATGACTTTGAAGCACTGTGGAGCTTGGATCATATTTTATATTATTATTGTTGTTATTTAGTAATATTGAGTCCTCTTGACATTCTGAATGATCACATTTTCTCCGTAACATTTAAGAATGTCACAGCACTTGACATGTTCATTTTGAATTTAACAGAGTGAGAAATCGAGCTTTAAAAGAATTACTTTTATGTTATTTACAGTTTTTTTTCTGTTTTTTGGGCTGAAAAAATTCGTAGATCATCATCAACAACAAATCCATCACCGCTTATTTCATAATTTGGTGTTTTAGCCTCTCAGTTGTGACAGTTTTCAGCTTTTCTCTGATGATAAACTGAATAAATAAATAAATAAATGAATGATAATAAATGAAATTTGATAAATAAAGTATTTTTCATTTCATTTCATTTCTTAAACGCTGCGTCCACCTGACAGTAGAAGCTGTTTATTTACAGTGTCACAATGAAATATGCAATTACAGTATAACTGACTACAGAAGAACATGAGCTTTACTGTTTAGTACAGAAACTAGACTTTACAACAACATACTGTAGTTCTGTTGTGTTGCTGCTGTAATGAATGACTGCAGCTGTAGTTTTTTGTCTTGTTTGAGCTGTTTTGTGTCTCATTTGTGTAGTTTTGTGTCTTTGTGTCTAATTTGTGCTTTTGAATGTTTCGTGCTCTGAGGTTTTATTCAGTTCACACCTTTCACAGTCGCCTTCCTTTAACGCTCGTTCTTGTTTTTAACCGCATTTTGAAGAAACACTGTCAGAATGTGGCTGTAGTTTCACAGTAATTTGTGCAGTTTCTGAGTAAATACACAAAATAATCAACTGATTATTAATAGTAAAGTCTGATTGATCTGTAGCAGTCAGTCTGTTTGCACGAATGCTTGTTCATGTGAAACGGTGTTTGGCTGCAGGTTGAATCATCGCTGCGGCGACGTTGAGACACTGCAGATTTCATTCAGGTTGTGAAAGCAGAAGCAAAGGTCTGAGGCAGAAGTGTTGTGTAACCTGTTGCTGGCTGATTCATGTGGACTGCGGGGAGTGGTCATCGGGGGGCTGATGGCCTATTGTCCCACACAGGAATGTTTCCAGTCTCCCCACTTCCACTGGGACACAAAAGGTTCAGTTTCCACTCGGAGCTTTGCACACAGAATCCTCTGCTCTCCATCCTGGAACAAGAGGAGCAGGAGGTGTCTGTGATTGTTAGTCAGATTTCTTCCACTTGGTGTTCTCGTTTTGAGTGTCAGACGCCTCCTTTCTGTCCATCTGCAGACGCTGGGTGTTGGCTGGATCAGGCGGAGCGCAGAGTGTGAAGGTAAAGCAGAAAGAGCAGAAACAGAATCAGAGCCAGACAGGCTGGAATGCAGCCAGACCTTGGAATGAACAGTTCCTCCCCCTCTCTGCCATATTTCTCTCTGTAACGCTGCATTTTTCGCCGCTCGGTTTTTCTCCGTCCGTCCTCCTGACGCTGCACTTTATTCCTATCTGTTTTTCCACTCCGCCCCCTCCGCCTCCCACTGTGCATGAATCAGAACATAATCCCTCAGTGCTTATTGTTGATATCCTAATCATTTCCCATCCATGCGCGGCCACAGTCCCTCTCCGAATGCATTCATTTGCTCCACAAAGGAAAAGTGATAAATCAGGCCGCAGACACGTCGTTTGGGCGACGACGTTGCGATGTGAAGTAACACAAATGAACCCAAACGCATCAGGCTGCAAGTATTTTTACTGCCTAATACAAAAAGAAAACTCTCACAGTTCTTATTTTCCATGAAGAGACGTCTGTCTGATTGAACGGCATCTTACTCTGATTTAAGGCCTCTCGGGTGCAGTTCTGTAACTTTATTTAACAGAGCTGGTGGAGCTGCAGCAACATGAGCAGGAGAGAAACTCTGGAAAGGAAGACCTGGCTGCAGAAATAAGTCAGTTATATGGAACTGTTTCAGCTACAGAAAAAGAGGATGTTTAATAGAAACAGGTTCTCTGTCTGCAGCACAACTAACCAGTCTGGTTAAAGCAGCAGCACAAAGAGTTTAAACAGTATCGTAGATGGTAGACGAGAGTTACTCCAGGAGTATAACAAAAAAAAAAAGTGAACATCTGCAGTTACACAAGCAGCAGAACTTTTATTAAACACAATTATAATATATTGAAATTGAGGTTCTCTGTCTGCAGCTGTTGATGCAACAAAAGTTTGGACGACACAAAGATCTGAATGACATCCAAAGCCAATAAATAAATAAACAAAATGCTTTTCAGGTGCAGCCTCTGAATTAGGACACAGCTAATATATATATCGCAGGAAAAAACAAAAAAAAACTAAACGTCACAATGTGGGTCAGTTTTTTTTTTCCAACTTCTTGCAGCCCTGCTGGAAAATAAGCACAACAGAGTTAATGATTACTGATCTGTTAACAGAAAACAAGAACAGACGACAAACTAAACCTGAACGAAGCTGCAGAAATCTTTAAGAAGCTGTTCAAGATTCAAGATATTTGCATGTATATAAAGAAATGAAATGCTGTTTTACCAGCACAGGGCAAAACAGAAAAATGTGTATTAAAAATGCTAAAAAAGCAGCAAAGTGTTATTAGTATTAAAGTTCTGATCTTAATCTGATAACTTTGCTTTATGGATGAAGGTTATCAGTACAGAATACGGTGTAATGAACAAGTAAATGATGCCGTATTATTAAAAGATAAGATAAGACGCGAGGTGCCCGGCAGTATTTATTTATTATCAGCTGCAACATGAAACTGCATTAATGCATCAATATTTATGATCTGGTTTTATAATGTGCTCTCAGCTGCCAGTTTAAGCCGAACCCAATATTATTCATCTCTATGCTAAATTAAGATCTAATTTTAATGTGACGGACAGGTTTCTGCAAATGACATTCATGTTTGTGATGGTTAATGATGAATTTAAATAATTTCTGTTTCTTTATTACCTGTTTTTTTTTTGTATATGCTTAAGTGGTTGCAGATATTTGAGAAAACATCCCAGTCTAGATGTTCCTAGAAATGTATTATTAACATCTCTAATACAACATCTATGTGTGTTTTGTTTCTGTCATTTGAAGCCAGAAGAAACCTGATGGTCAAAAAAATAAATTCACTACAAATCAGGTTTTGGTCTGACTATGAATAATTTAGGCTTAACTGTGGCTGAAACTGGTGCAGTGTAATAAAACAGTCCTGCAGTAAATTCTACTTTCATCCACTTTGTGTTTTGTTGAACTGCTTCCAGAAAGTTGTTGATTCACCGTCCTGCTTTTATTGCTTTATGCTGACAGGTGTTTTTCATTATTTTGTTTTCCCACAACTATATCAGGGAGGAAAGGCCGACTGGATTTGGATTGATGTAGCTTCTGAGGTGTGAGATCGAGTTGATGAAAAGAAACAAAAGAAACCCGACAACAATAACAACAACAAAAATGTAGTGAAAAGAACATCACAGCAACGTCAATGGAACCGCAAAATCCAACTCAACTGGTTCAGTCTGCATCAGAATCAAGTCTTTCTTCTGGATCATCAGTGAATGTTGCTCCTGGTCTTGGTCTTGTTCTTGGACTTTGTCTTGGTCATGTTGTTAATCAAGTTCTTGGTCTTGGACTTGCTCTTAGCTTTGGTCTTCTTCTCGGCCCTAGACTTCTTTTTAGAGTTGTTCTTGTTCTTGGACTTGGACTTGTTTTTGGACTTGGAGTTGTTCTTAGACTTTTTATGGGTCTTTTTTTATTGTTGTTGGTCTTGTTGTTGGTGTAGGTCTTGCTCTTGGACTTGGACATGTTCTTGATGTAGTTGTTGGTGTTGTTTTTGTCCTTGTTCTTGGTCTTGTTGTTAATAAAGTTCTTGGTCCCAGTCTTGGTCTTCTTCTTGGCCTTGGAATTATTTCAGACTTGTTCTTGGTCTTGTTCTTGGACTTTTTCTTGGTGTTATTCTTGGACTTGTTCCTGGACTTGGACTTGTTCTTGGACTTTCTCTTGGACTTTTTCTTGGTCTTGTTGTTGGACTTGATCTGGTTCTTGTTGTTAATCAAGTTCTTGGTTCTGGTCTTGGTCTTCTTCTTGACCTTGGACTTCTTTTTTTGACTTGTTCTTTGTCTCGTTCTTGGTCTTATTCTTGGGCTCGTTCCTGGACTTGGACTTGTTTTTGAATTTGGAGTTGTTCTTGGTGTTTTTACTGTTGTTGGTCTTGTTGAACCTTTTCTCGGTCTTGTTCTAGTCCTTGTCCTTGTTCTTGGTCTTAGTATTGGTCTTGCTGTTGGTCTTGTTCTTGGACTTAATCTTGGTCTTGTTCTTGGTCCTGGTCGTCCTCTCAGGTTGTTTCTATCAATGCCAACCTTGAACAACCTGCACTTTGGACCCATGCAACAGGTGAGATCAGTTCTGAGTCACTGTGTGTAACATGTGACACCTGTTTTTGCTGTGTTTAGCTTCTTCCACCTGCGGTTACTAATCTGGGTCACAAGTGCATCACCGTGTAAAATCTGCTTCAGTGAGTCAGAATGTGTTTGGAGTTTTGCAAGAAGAGTCGATGAGAGAGACGGTTTGGTTCAGAGGATTTCACAAAAAATGTAAACGCAGCTTGTGGTGGACAGTCAGGACAATCGGAGCGTCCAGGTGTTTCCAGAACCTTTATACCTGCGACAGAACAGAAAAACAGAAAATCTCTCAAAGTGCAGTGACCTGCCGCCACCAGCAGGGGTCAGACTGATCCACAGCTCCGTGCTGCAGAGCGAGATGCCTTCAGGGTGGAAGATTCCCACATTCTCGGGCTGCAAGCAAATCAGCCGGAGACGTGACAGAAGGCAGGAGGCAGAAACCTCAGATTCAGACATGAACTCTGGAGGAGACGTGAGAGAAGCTGGACGTGAAGCTTCGTGACGACGAACGGTGGCGGTCCGGACGAGGACGCTGCACAGAATGTAGGGTAATAGCAGCAGAGGAGGCAGGGGAAGTGTAAATAATAGAGGAGAGCTGGGAAGTCCTCGTACGGAGGTTTTTGTCTTGTGTAACTGGAGTGCATAAACACACACATCACCAGCACAAAGACAAACATAAAACACGCCAAAAAGACGTGTGTTCTGAAGAACCAAAGCCCATAAAGTGTGCGTCCCAGCGGCTAACACAAAGCTAATCCCATAAACTGCACCATTAGAGGCCTTATCAGAGTCTTTTCTCGGCGTTTATCTCTCCCTGGTTGCCTCCCTCCTCCTCCTCCTCCTCTGCTGCTCAGAAACAAACCTCACACCGACTGCCTCCCGTCTCCTTCATCCTTCTCTGTCCTTTCTTACATTTTCTAACAGTGAAACCCAACGCCGGCCAGCTGTCCGACCTCCTCCCTCCACGTCCTGCAGATGTGTAACATGTGCTTCCAATTAACACATGTAGAAACTGACTGTAGCGGCAGTTAGAGCACAAAATCGTCAGCGAGGCGGCGGACGGCGAGGAGTTTAGCCGGTCTGACTGCCTGCAGCTTCCATCCATCAGCCTCTAAAGTGTTGTTCATTATCCCTGCAGCTGATAGTCACATACATGGAAGCCGCTGATTGCAGGAACTACGTGCGTCGCCCAGATAACATAAACCAGGACCTGCTGCATTTACATTCAGCGCAGCATCATCACCCAGATAAGGAAAACAAGCAGCGTGTTGACAGGAACATGATAGAAGCGGCGTGTTTCGTGTGTTGCGGGGCGGCTTCGCGTCGCCGCTTTGTGTCGAGCTGAAGAGCAGCTGAGCGTCAGGAGTCTTTGTGAGCCGCCGATGTATCACCGCCGAGATTAGTGTCAAGAATTTCTCCCCTCCGTGTTTGACCTTGTCTCGCATTGATAGTCCATATCGTAGATCACTGCGTTGTCACGCTGACTGTATGGAAGTGTGGCAGGAATGCAGCTCGGCCTGAAGGATTCTGGGAAAATATCGAATCATTCTCGCGGGCATTGATTCACGATATCGCTTCTTTTTGAACATCGAGCTTCCGTTCGATATTTTCTCTGGGTGATAGATTTTAAACACGTGACGATCGGACCGGGAGGAGACGTGAACGAATAAAACCAGACAAACTTCAACCTCTTAAAGTTTTAATCCGCTCGAACAGAAGAGAATAAAATTGCAGCATTATTTCACCTGCAGTCGATCTGAAATCCAATAAGTCCTGCTTCGGCTGCAGCTCGGAGATATTTTGATCACTGATTAATGTGAAAAACCTTCAGAAACTGGTGAAAAGGGCCTTGAATTGATCAACATCATAAAATATTTTGTGGTTTGTTTGACCAACAATCCAAAAAATATTCAATTTACTTTGAGGTGAGATAAGTTTTATATTTTATTGAACCCGTTTGGTGTTCGGGGTGTTGATCTGACTCTGGATATAGATTGCTGGTATACGTGAGGCTAATTTCACGTCATCAGTCCACGTGTTACTGCTTTAAAATCCTCTTCACTACAAAACAACAACAACCTCTGAGCAATAACCAGAAACTAGTTTTGCAGGAAATGTGAACAATTCTGCTGGTTTCTTTCGGTGAATTAACCATTTTAATTCATCGTTCCCCATCCCAGTCCCGCGTAGCTCAGTGAATCATCTTTATATGTGTTTTAGAAGCTGATCGTACAAGTTGTTGTCTTGCTTATCTTGTTTTATATGTTTTTTTTATTTTTATTTTTTAGAGATTTTATATCTTTTTCTGTTTTGCACATCTTTTAGTTTGTCTTTTATCATCTACAGGTTGTTTTAAAGCGTGCAGCGGAAATAAACTTTGCAAAATAAAGCAACCTTGCAGCTCAGATGGAGAGGAAACAACCCTCTGTCACGTGTCACCATAAGCATTTAAATCTACTAAAATGTCATTAATTCACAGAAAACACTTTTCAGTATTTAAAAAGTAAGAAAAGTAAATAAACTTCTGGCATTCTTGCTGCCAGATTTGCAGTTTTTAAAAACATTTTGTTCTCTTAAAATATAATTATTGTGTTTATTATAATAAAAAAAAGTAAAAATGGTGAAAACAAAATGCCCTATTTCGGGGTATCAGCGTAAACGTACTAATAATATTCTCTGCGTCCCTTTATGGACTCTTACACGGACATTATATCATCCGGTGTGACATTAATTTATTATTCTTGGCTTCAGATTTGGAGAATTTTCCAACCTGACTGTACGATTACATGAATCTGTACGACGTGTTCTGCTCAGTGAGTCACACATCGCTGTAACCCCTGAACCATCCTTCTATCTGCGTTTTCTGTCTCTTTGATTCTCAGACTCGGCGCCGTGGTGTTAGTTTCACACAGCATCGCGTCCACACCTCTCTCACACACGACTCCACTGTTCTTTGCTTCGCTTCCATCACTCTTCCCATCTGCCCATGTCCTGTTCTCTCTCAGTGTTCGTCCTTCCATCTGTCCTCCTTCTCTGTTCTTTGCCCGACGAGTCAGCGACTGACCACACATGCAGGATCTCACCGTCCAGACTGTGAGATTCTGATTCTTCTGGACAAGCACTTGCAGAAACATCCATTTGCGATCAGCAGATACAGAAGGAGACACGGTGGAAATCCTACAAGAGATGAATCAGAGGCTTTTCTTACAATGAAACTTACGCACAGGACTGATAAAAGACAAGCAGCTTGGTGGTATCAAGTCACACTCAGAACTATTTGTGTGGGTCGATCTTAATTTAATACGACCTGAAACCAAACCCTCTGATAAACAGCCCTGTGTGGTGTCAGGGGTTGTGTTGCTCTGCCGTCTATAAAAGGGTTCTGTTGTATTCAGCTGCCTGTCCAGGTTCTAGTTTGACCTCACTTCTATTCTCCTGCTGGAATGTTCCTCTTCTTCATCTGGTCAGCCAGTATTCTGGTTCATCGTCAGACGTTCATCTATAAACGTCATCAACACCTTCTGCCCTCATGCAGCCCCACATCATGATGCTCCACCTCCGTGCTTCACTGTCAGGACCATGCATCCACTGTGGTGGTCCTGGTCAGGTTCACACCAAACATCTGGACTCCATGTGAGGCCAACACATTGATCTCCATCTGACCAGAGGATGTTCTCCAACATCCATCAGGTTTCTGTTCATGTTCTCTGGTGAACTTTGATGTGGAAGTTTATCTGTGAGCAGCAGCCAGGTTTAGTTCTGGTCCTCCGTCCATAGAGGCTGATGTTCTGAAGTGTCCTTCACACTGTGTGAGCTTCACACTAACTCTGGTCTCCATTGATAAGCCTTGTGCCAAGTCTGAAGCAGCTGCCTTTGTCTGGTGTCCACAGCTCCATAGTGACAGTAGTTGACTGTCCGTGGAGTCATTGTAGGAGGACGACCACTGCAGCCCTGATCAGTGCTGCTGTGGCTCCTTCTGGACCTCCTGGTTCCTGCTCACACTGGACTGCACTGGTGCTCAGTTGATCCTTTTCCATCTTTATGAAGTCTCACAGCTTTTTCACTTCCTCTGTTCAGGTCTTCTCCATGTGGAGCCATGATGCAGACATAGACACAGTCCATAGGTCCAGAACTGAGACGGTTCTGCTGTTCTCAGCTCATTTTAGAACCATGTTCATGCAGGAACACTGATTGGGAATCACAGGTGATCACAGCTGGATTCACTTTGGTTATTTGAGTTTCTATTTGGAAAGAATTATTTAACATTCAAGGGACATCGCGCTTGTTTACTGCACCTCGTATCGACACTAAAATACAGTTAAAATGTAGAATTTCCATCCAAGAGTTTTGATGCTGAAGCCGAAGTGAGGCAGGCGGACTGAGAGGGAAGGTGGAGGTTTAGGTGTGGTGCTGAGAGACGTGGATAAAACAGACGTTCCTGTTGTTTTCTCTCCAGGAAGGAGGCGAAGGGGAGCATAAGCAGATCTTAAGATGCGATCCAGAGAACAGAAAGGCGCAGAGATGACTGTGGGTGGATCAATACGTGAGATGACAGTGGAGGGGGGGAAGAGGTGGAGACTCGGCAGCTCGACGGCGGAGGAAAACCCTCCGCTGGGGTTTTTTTTTTTTTTCCTCTCAGGATGCTTTAATATGGGTGTATATGAGTGCAGTGTCTGTGAGCGATGAGCGTGAGGGAGGACGGAGGGAGGAGGGTGATGGAGGAAACCGCTGCAGTGCATTGTTAGGCTGAGCGCACACACA